ATCCAGTGAGCCACCTGCACCTGCTGCTGGAACCGCTCGCAAACGTGCAATTCGTGGTGGAGGACCGCTCGGTGGATCTGAATCCATTATTTTCAAGTCAGGCAATGAGTCTCAGGCTTCAACTTCCACTGTTACAATCCCAACAACTAACATCAAGTTCCCAGAACCCAGTAAAGATTTCTGGACAAAAAAAGATTCGAGCAACACCGATGGAGCAGCTTTAGGAAATAATGATGGATCTCTTTTTGCTTTCCTGGGCAAAGAGTATGTAGATTTCACAGAATTTTTGACACTCAATTTTTTGATTTTTCAGCGGTGATAAGTCTAAAGAGCCTTCGAAGTTCACTGGATTCTCATTTGGCAAAAAGCCAGAATCCGACACTGCAAAGCCTGATGAGCCAAAAACCACTGTCCCACTGTTTGGATCTACAACATCCGCTGAAACTACTGTCCCACTATTTGGATCTACAACATCCAAGAATGAGAACGTTAAGACAACTGGTTCACTTTTTGGAGCTATTTCCAAGTCACCAGAAACCACATCTGCGGGATTGAAGTCCTCAGATACGCCAGCTACTACTTCTAAGCCATTGGTTTTCGGAGAGCAAAAAGACGGGGACAATGCCGCAGCGAAACCATTCTCTGGACTTGCTTTCGGTGCTTCTCTTTTCGGATCCGGCGCTAAACAAACCACGCCATCTTTAAGCTTCGGTTCTGGAGGTACTAATACTGGATCTGGAGGTACCACGACTACTGGATCACTGTTTGGAGGTGCTACCACTACTGGATCGTTGTTTGGAGGCTTCGCTGGTTTAGCACAGAAAGCCCAGGAGAATCAGGCGAAAGGCGAGGGCGGTGATGATGACGAAGAGTATGTGCCGCCGAAAGTAGAAACAGTCGAAGTTGAAGAGCCTGATGCGGTAATCAGCAGCAAGTGAGTATCGGAACATTTTCACCGTTTTTATAATTCTTTACTCCATTTAAGAGTCGCTGTCTTCAAATTTGCTGACAAGGAATACACTAAGCTTGGCGTTGGAATGCTTCATGTCAAAGACACTGATGGGAAGTTTAGTGTACTCATCAGAGCTGCGACGGCGATCGGCACCGTTTGGCTGAACGCTCTTTGTAACAAGGCAATGAAAGCAACGAAGGTCGATGATAAAGGAGAACGAATTCGTCTCACTTGTCCGGTTTCGGCATCTGAAATGACCACACTGATGATTCGATTCGGCTCTGCAGATGTCGCTAAGAAGTTCGTGGAGAAGGTTGAAGAAGTCTCTAAGTAGCTCAGTCGTCATAATTCTGACTTTGATTAATTTTTTTATTCATCTTTGTTTCTTGTCGAAACACACCCATTCCGATTTCTATTTGTATTGCTGTCACATAAACATGAAAAAATGATTTCAAACTTTTCATAAATCAACAACGTCAGATAACAAAAAAGAAACGAATGCGAGTGAAAATCCAATGTTCACTCCCCAATTTCAACAGATATTTCCGGTTGTTTCGGCAGTTCCATTCGGCTTTTCAGAGTGACCGCAGGAAAGAAGCCAGAGCCGCCAGCGGCATTGGCTTCTGCCTGGGTGTATGGAACCTCTTTCAAAGATTTCACACGATTTTTGTGCAGTTTCGTTTTGCGATGAAGCTGTCGAGTTTTCTCGTCGATGAAATGCCGTTCGCACTCAATACAGTAAAACTGTCCGTTTCCAGGAAGATCATAATCGACCTATAACAATTTTTTCAATTTAGTTCATGTTCCGTTTGTTTGAATATTTACCTCTTGTTGAAGAAGCTTCGCTGCTTTTTCGGGTTTCAAGTCTTCGTGGATCTGATCCAAATCTTTGCCTGGACGCTTGCGAGTTTTATTCGAAATTGTGTGCTTTCTTTGTCCACCACTCGGCATTTTGCTGTGACAAAAAATTCGGTTTGAACCATTTCCGAACACTGTAGAGATAAAGTGAAGTTGAATAACTTCAGTAGGTCACATAGAAAATAGGATTTGTACGTTTCGAAAATTTTATATTTTTTTGGGCATAGGGAATGGGAAAAGATGAAAATAAAAAAATACACGGGCTCCGATCCTAGCTGTTCTGGAAATCAAAATCGAATATTATGCTTGTCTGAGAAAAAAAAGGTTAGAGAAGATTTTTTGCAGTCTGAATACGGTAGTGATATCGAAGCGGAGAGCCTAAATAGCACATATTAAGTGGAGACGCAGACACTATTTCTCTGCGTCTCACCTTTTTTTTCTCAGACAAGCATAATAGACTTCCACTGTTATCCCTATCTAATTTAGCCTAATCAGCTAAGCAGAGCCGGAAAAGAATGAGAGATGAACCATGAAGCAAAGGACGCGAATATTAGGGGAATTTTTGGGGTGAGAGATGGAGAGAGAGAGAATGAAGACAAAAGATTGGAAATAGATGGAAGAACAGAAAGAATTTACAACAAAAATAATATTTTTGGTTGGGAACACAAGGGAGAGTAATAGTAATTGACTTATGTGTGAAAAGAGTGGAAATGCGACCAAAATTAGACAAAGAAATAGACACATGAGAAGCAAAAAGAGAGATCACACCAGATGGAAAGAAGAGAAAATATTGAAATTGATGATATTATAAGTTTGGTATTTTCAGCATTCCTTTTGTTCCACCTGGTTTTACGCTTGTTGCTGAATTCCACCCATTCCTTGATTGGGATCCTCTCCAAGTCGGGCTTGTGAACCACCGGAATGGAAGAGGGAAAGTGACGATCCAAGTCCAAACATGTGACCGCAAATCAGAGGAGCAATTTGATTCCAGCTATCTCCGAAAAACTGCTTCTTGATTTTGAAAAACGTTGCAGCCGTCAAAAGTGCATCGGATCCTGCCTGATGACGAACTCCTTGTCGTTTTACATCCAACTGGTCAGCAACCTCCTGCAGACCACCTTTCAGCTTCGCTGATGCGCAATTCGGCGTTCGGAGAAGAATTTTGATGTCGAAACTGGTCGGGAACAGAGTTTTGTGACATGTGAAGAACATAGCTTCTTCTTTGGGCAGATCGCCAAGCGTTATACTTTTCAGAAGGTATCCAAAGTCGTAGCCCGAGGAGAATGTCAGCCATGTAATCCGCGGATCCGTAATTAGTCCAGATGTTGTCAGCAACTCGCCGAATACATGTGTTGGTATTCCCTCATGCTGAAAGAAGCTTTCGGGTAACTTATAAAAAGAAATGTATCTTGCCTGCAATGCGTTGAAATCAATACCCGCTTGACGCAGCATTTCAACACTGTCATGTGAAAACATGTCTTCGGCGAAGGAGAAATTGAAATTGAACTGCCAAACATCGCCCGTTGGGGGCAGCTCGCCTTTGTCGTTGACCATGGCAAATCCAACCTGAAGGGCAACGCCAACATAGATTTGAGCGCAACGGATGGACTACCTGTATTAATTTCAGCATGTTGACATTACAGAACACTTGCTGATAATTAAAATCTTCTTTGCTTCGGAACGTTCCCAATGGCGTCGCAACCACTCCCGGAAACTCTGTGTCCATGGCCACATATGGATAATCCTTAATAGTAAATCGATTCTAACTCAGTTTCTTTCTCTGTTCGTACCTCAACTAATCCACGGATTCGAGCGAACTCTTCTTCCACATTTGATAAGAAAACATTATGGATTTTGATATCTGGGGGACCACTGCTACTAGATGCCATTTTATCGTCTGAAAACCAAAAAAAGTTTCAAATGATTGCCAGAACGCTTTTAGCTATACAAGAAGCTCAACCGCGCTACAAAAAGTGTTTAAAAAAGTTCAAATATTCCTTCTTATTTCTTTATCGTCAAAATAGAGCCAAATACTGTTTCGCAAGAATAGTTCAAGCGTTTTAGAATCGATTCATGTGATGAAAAGAAATCGCGAGCAGAGTCAGTTCAAAGGCGCACATGGTTTCCTCCCCGCGCGGGTCTCACCACGCTGGCGAAAGAACTGCAAACTGGCTTGTTGCCAAGCGAGACTGTGTGGCTGCTTTTGCGTTAGAGAAGTTTACAAACATAATGAGAAGATTATTCGCCAAGAAAGTTTGCCGTAGAGTTATTCGTTTTAACATTTTTTTTCCTGATTCCGCTCCTCTGTTTCATTATTTTTGTCAGGACATTCTCTGCGATAGATCTTTTTTGTTAAATATTTTTACTGCCTTGGTTAATTTCTTTTCTATTCCCAGGTAAAAATGCTGAAGGCCGTCGTTTCACTTTGCTTAGTAGCATCTGCGCTGTGTAAGTATTTATTCGATTTATATACTTTCTATTGTCATTTTTTCAGGCGCCAAGTGCGACTCTCCCAAGTTCTCCGCTTCATCTTTCTCTACGACCGATGGATTCTTCCACTACAGAACAACTTTCATCACCGAGTTCACTCTTCAATGTAGCAACAACCCAAAGAACATCCAATACACAGCTGAAGTGAATGGCCGCCTTATCCCAGTCTCCACTTCTGATGAGACAGCCAAGTACCAAGTTTCCTGGACCCTTGACCACGCTGCCGCTGGAGCCCAAACTTTCAATATCAACATCTACGATGAGGAAGGAGCAGCTCAACTTGCCAAGAATCCATCCACCAGCCCACTCTTCACTGTGCAGCAGAACCATTCCGTGAGTTTTCTAAATTCATTTTAAAAACGAAAAAAAAGTATTGAAAAAGTATATCGGACAAGATATCGGACAAGAGTAATATCTGAAATTCCGACATCAGAGCGAAAATTGCTTCGCTCTCTAGAAACGGAAAAGAAAACAAGAGATTCATGACATAAATTTTTGTTTTTTAACAGATTCATACGAAAAATTGTATTTTCTGTGTTTAAAAAACAATTTAAAAAATTTCGGCTGAAAAAATATAATTTAAATTTTTAAAAAGCTTTGAAGCAGTTTTTCTGAAATTTTTAGTATATTCAGGAGAAAAGGACTTGAATAAAAAAATATGTATTAAGCTTTGAGTTTAATTTAATGATTAAACGATACAATTTATTTCCTTGATGAATTTATCGTTTTAATTTGAGAACATTTTCAAAAAATGAACATGTTCTGTATATCTTTGAAATCTGTGAATGAAATTCTCATGTTTTCCAGGGACTCGCCTCAAAGTCGCCAGTTTCTTCTGAGACTGTTGCTGTCATCGTTCTCGTCGTTGCTCTCTATCATGCCATTCGCCAAAAAACCGAACTCGTTCATTAATTTATTTTTCAAGCCTTTTATTGATTACTGGTCGAAGCACATATTGAATAGTGCTGGGTTGTTTTTATTTTTCGTTTTGTTTCAATTATTTGTAGAAATGTAATTTATTTATTCCTTTTTTTCATGTATTTTCACACAGCACTTTCCAAATAGCAATAAATTTCTAATACCCTACTATTGGGAGAAGCAGAAGAGTCAAGGTTGGCTGAGAAGAGTTAAAACACCCGTTCAGTATTTTAAGATAGAGTGAAAATATTCCAAAATAGAACTATCAGTTCAGAATGCTTCTGGCTCGATCAATACTTCATGCTGAACGGCTCTGCTGCTCTAGAAGCCTCTGTTACGCACAGAGTCAATTTCCATCAAGCTCATCGTGTAGAACCATTCACAGCACCTTAAGAGTGAGCGAGAAAGAACATGTTCAGAAGCCACAAGATCAGAAATGGAAATTTTTTCGTATGACAATGTCGGAAGAGCAGAAAGCTGCGAAAACTGCAAAAATTGAGCAGATGAGAGCAGAAGAAGCACCACAAGGCATTTTCGCAAAAGTGAAGTACTATTTCAAAAGATACTGGTACATAGCCGTACCAGCACATGCCGCTTCGTGTACCGCCTGGTTCATTGCATTGTATTTGGTGGTGAAGAGTGGAGTAGATGTGATTGCTCTTCTCGAATGGATGCATATGCCAGATGCGATTCTTGAAAAAGTCAAAAATACACCCGAATCTGCTGGTGTCGTTGTAGTTTCGCTCATTTTATACAAGGTATGATATGCCGTTTTCAGATTTTTTCATTGAGTTTTCCAAAACACATTTTTTTCTTAAAAATGGTTTTCAGATTGCGATGCCATTCCGTTACATTACTACGCTTCTTCTTATTCAAGCTACATTTTGGACTCTTCGAAGAATGGGAAAACTGAAGACAGCGAGAGAAGTCGAGTACAAGGTAAATATAAAAAACTGATCGCGAATTATAATTTTGAAATTCCTAAGGTCCGACATGAATACGAGCTCAACAAAGCGTTGCACGGAAGGAAATGGTACCGGTAAGGTGTTCATCATAATTGAAAGAACTAGACCATTTTTACTTCAGTTATCGTCATCTGGGAGTTCGCAGTGTGAGCCGGAAAAATAGCGTACACGCGACCACTGCTCATTTGGGACAAGTACAACGATTACAAAAAGAACATGACAAACTCAATGAACCAAAGAAATCTGATTAAATTACCGTTCTTACGAAGTTCTGTAAAATACCTTGACGCCTCTAATGGAAGTGCCCAAAATTTTTAACTTTGAGCCAATTTATCTCGGTTTCTACCAAAGATATACAATATTTGTAAACTGATGGATTGTTCATTTTCATATCACAAACATTTTATCAGTTAAAATTTTTTTATCTTGCATACGAGCCAAGATAAATTAGCTCAAACTTGACAATGTGGGCAGCCCTTCTATTAGAGGTGTTACGGTATTGTCTTTGTTTTAAAAGACCATTTAATGTACTGCTCGCCATAGTAACCTTTAAATAGTATTAATGTTATTCACTTTCTTGTTGGAGTATTAGTTCTTGCACTCTTGTATAAATTCTATTCGTACCCCTGTTTTTTTCATCGCAAAGTGACCTGATTTTGACCAGTTCAACATTTCTTTCCCACTCGACACTTATCATTGATTGTTTGTTATCTACCAGTCGATCGCATGTTGACCACAGTCATTCGGCGTACGATGGCTACAGGTCGACATTTTGTAAGTGACCATATTTTCTTTCTGAAAAGATCTAGAAGTTAAAACAACTGTTCAGATAGCAGTATGTCAAATGACAAGCGACAACGATCTGGAGAAAAACTTCGATATTGCAAAATCAATGATCGAGCGAGCTGGAGAAAGAAAGTGTGAAGTAAAAAAGCTCAGTATTCTGACAAAAAGTGAGAAACTGATTTTCAGATGGTCTTCCTGCCAGAATGTTTTGATTTCATTGGAGTGAACAAAAACGAGCAGGTTGATCTTGCGATGACGGCCGACTGTGTATATATGCAGAGATATAGAGATCTCGCGAAAAAACACAATGTCTGGTTGTCTTTAGGAGGACTTCATCACAAAGTACTAGAAAAGAAAAGAAGAAACTTTTTTCTCTAATTATTCAAGTTTTATTGGCTTTCAGGATCCATCCGATCACGCACATCCATGGAACACTCATCTGATCATCGATTCACAAGGAGCCACTTGTGTAGAATATAACAAATTGCATCTCTTCGATCTGGAAATTCCAGGGAAGGTTCGATTGATGGAGAGTGAATTCAGCAAGGCTGGTAACGAGGTAGGGGTTATACAAAATTGGATATCCGACTGTGATTCTTCATTCAGATGGTTCCTCCAGTAGAAACTCCAGTTGGATGTCTGGGTCTCTCGATTTGCTACGATGTACGGTTTCCTGAATTATCCCTTTGGAACCGACAGCGTGGAGCCCAGCTCCTCTCTTTCCCGAGTGCTTTCACATTGAATACCGGACTGGCTCACTGGGAAACTCTTCTACGTGCTCGTGCTATTGAGAATCAGTGTTATGTTGTGGCTGCTGCTCAAACTGGAGCTCATAATCCAAAAAGACAATCGTACGGTCATGCAATGGTTGTGGATCCATGGGGAGCTGTGGTAGCTCAATGTTCTGAGAGAGTTGGTCAGTTTGAGAAGGAAAATCCGATTTATTTTAGAAAAAATGAGATTTATTTTGGATATTTTCAGATATGTGCTTCGCTGAAATTGATCTGAGCTACGTAGCCAGCCTTCGCGAAATGCAACCAGTCTTTTCGCATCGCCGTTCTGATTTGTATACTCTTCATGTCAATGAGAGAAATCATGAAACAGATGATCTAAAGTTTGCCGAGTTCCCAATCCCAGCGAGCCACATTTTCTACAGTACTCCTCATTCGTTTGCGTTTGTCAATTTGAAGCCCGTTACTGATGGGCGTAAGTTTCAGGCAGTCTGAATTTAAAACAATGTTCCATTCCAGATGTTCTCATCAGTCCGAAACGTGTCGTCCAGCATCTGACTGATTTGACTGATGCGGAAACAGCCGACCTGTTCATTGTGGCCAAAAAAGTTCAAGCAATGCTTGAGAAGCATCATAACGTGAAGGCGTCGACAATATGTGTTCAAGATGGAAAAGAAGCTGGACAGACAGTTCCTGTAAGTTCAACTAACATTTGTGTGTCGAATTCCTATCTCCAGCATGCTCATGTTCATATCCTTGCTCGACGTTCTGGAGATTTCGGTGACAATGAAATCTACCAAAAACTAGCATCCCATGACAAGGAACCGGAAAGAAAACCACGATCAAAAGAGACGATGGCTGAGGAAGCAGAAGTGTATAGAAAACTCATGTGAATATAGATTGTATTATGAATGCTGTGTTTTTATTTTTGATCATCTAGTTTTTTATACAGTATAAATGTACCTTTTTAGTTGGTTCACTTTTGCAAATAACAATTCAGTTAGTAAATCTTCATTTAATTTGGAATGGAGAAGACGAAAAACCGGAAAATAACAAAGAAGCATTTTAGAAAACACAGTGTTTGTCGGCTAGTCATAAAATCAGATATGTTATGAAAGGAAGGATAAAGTTATCCATAGCACTGAGAAATGCTTCTAACACAGAAGCAATTAATGAAACTGAAATGATTGAAACTACAGAAGAGGCATCGTGGATGAAAGTGTTAGTGATAAGAAGGAATGTTAGCATTGAAAACATCATTGCCAGAGTGCCTTCTAAAGATTTTTCATTTCTGAAATAAAATATTTGATTTTTATGGTCTAGATTTCAAAATTTAAATACCCAGGCCACTTAGTCTCTCCCCACGTGGATCCCACAATCGCAGCCATTGAATCGCCAACACCAACTGCAGCAACTCCAGCGAAATGTGCCAGTTTTGGTTCGAAATCCGAGTCCCTGACGTTTCCAGACAACATCAGTGGTAAAAAGATTCCAACTAGCAGGTAGATTGGAGTAAGGAGCAATTCTGAATCTTGAGAATCCTTGAAAATAAGCAAATGCTCATTCAACACAGCTCCCCATGGAGGAACATTTAAGTATCGAAGTAGCTCGGTTAGAATGAAAATGCACAACCACAGCCAAGCACATAGCCAAGAGAAAAGTGGATCTAGAAGAATTCCAGATATGTAGATGAGAGATACTGTAAGATGGAAGAATTTTCTATGAACTGTGCTACTTCTTCCAATCGACGTGACGTAGACACAGAATACGACGGAAATGGCTACCATAGCCAGCCAGAAAGCCACCATATAGACTCTGAAAATAGTTTTTTTTTCAATTTGGGAAAGAAACTAGAAAACTATTACCTATTCCAAGAATTAGTAGAACCGATAACCATTTGAAAAAGAAGTTCCAAAGTTCCAAAAATGGATCGGTTCACTAAATTAGAAAATGCAAAAATTGCAATGGATATAACGACTGCGAACACGGCATTGATTACAATCGAATGTCTGAAAAATTTGATACTTGAATAAGATGTGAACAATCTTAAGACTGTGGCCGAAGGTCCCACAACGAAAACTACAATAACCTAATACAAATATGTTCATTTTCCGGATTTATTATCTCGAGTTTCTTGTGTTTCAGTCAATTTTCAAACCTTTATTTTGTGATTTCTTTTGGACAAAACTAACGGAGAACTCGACGATAACAAACCTATTTTTAGGTTACTGTAGTTTTCGTTCCAGGACTTTCGGCCACAGCCACCGGAATTTCACTTCCTCATCTCTGATTTTTTGTACCAAATTATTACCTTCGCAAAATCCAAGAAAACGCGAGAATCGTAGCAGTCGATACGGTAGCAACAACCACTAAACTACCGTACTCGTCACCAAACATTCTAGAAAAATCTATCTTTTGAAAGGAACAAAAGGAAGCTTTTATATATTTCTATGAATAGTAATATCTACAGTTTCAGTGTAGATTCCAATTAAGAAATTCGAAGATGTAATGTTTTATTTCCAGTGTATATGCAAAGAATAAGTAGATGTTTTTGAAAAGAATAAATGAAATGTGATGGATCACAATGAAAGCTTTGAAAGAGTTTCAAATAAATTACAATGAAAGAAAAAAAGTAGAAGTCTAAAAAAAAAATTAATCGATTGGCAGGATGACGAGTATTTATTGTGCTGGTGTCTGGAAATAATTATTGATTAATTTTTTCTCTTGTAATGAGAAATCAATTGACATGGCATGGTGTTCTTTTGAAATCTGTAACTCGCACCCCTCTATTTCATCTTGTTCACCCTTCCAACAGCCGACTGCCAGATACTTCAGAATCTACTCACATTTCCATGGCAACATTACCTTCACATGGGAAAACGAATTCCATATGTTCTATGTTCCCCTTCTATTTGCAACGAGCCCAAAATCACAGAAGATTGAAAAAGAAAAGGAGAAAAGAAGTATTTCTTCTTCTTCTTATAGTTGAAGCTAATTAGAAAAATTGTGGGAGTAAAAGGCGAATCAGGGATACTGGAAGTTTCAGAACCGGTCAGTTCAGAACTTTTCTGCATTTTTGCATAAATAAACGATGTCATTACTAGAGGTATGCAAAATTAAACTCATATTCGCTGGAAAACTTTTTGCGTACTTTTCGACACCGTTTTTGTAAACTTCAGTTGTTTTCTTTCGATTTTTCGAGACTTTTCGAGTGTGAACTCATTTGATGCGCAGTAACCACTATGCAAAAATGCTGAAAAGTTCTGAACAGTCCGGTTCTGCAACGTCGAGTTTTGAAACGTCCGGGAGCCTCAAATTTTGATAGGAATATTTCTGATTTTTTTTTGGTATTTCAAAAACTCCAAAGATCCCAAAATTTTGAAAACCGAACATTTGGAAAAAGTTCGAAAAAACCATTCCTAGCATCCCGCCATAATCTCAAAAACAGTTTTCACTTCGAAAAACTAAAAACGAAGCATCAACGCATTGTTCATAATCACCATCGAACCAACACCTTTATGCCCTCGGATTCTGACTTTACAAACATCTGGATATCTCCTTCCGAAAGTCACATCAGAAAAACATAAACTCGGTTTTTTTTCGTCTTCGACCATATGTCTGTCCGTCTTCTGGTTCTCCGATTACAAAAAGTGGAGGAGATGAAGGAAAGTTTTTGTGTGTCGTACACGATGAGCAGGCGGAGCAACTGTTCGGAGTTTTGAGGCAATTGTCTGCTACTGGATAGAGAATGAGGTCATCTGGGAGAAGAGGGGCAACTGGCAATGTGATTGACAAGCTATCTCAATTGAAATGTTTTTTGATATGTGAATTGAGCATTTCTGAAAACTTGGGGACCGAACTTCTTAAAACATGATTCTCCGTTTATTTGATACCAGCAAGCTGGTTATCTTCTTTGGGTTTCACTTTTAGTTATGAAGCCAATGTCCCTTTTGCCGGACGATGCATCTCCCGATGGTCGTCCTAAACAACGTCACTATAAATATCTGATGATAAGACTCCTCGCACTCTCCAGAACTCCTAATCTACACATCTTCATCTCCAACACTATCTCATCATGTCTCCCATTTGCTTTTTCTTTTTCTTCGTCTTCTTTGCTCCCAAAGCTTCTTCCGTTTCCGTCAAGAGCTTGGAAGAGCTGGAGACGGACTGAAATGCATTAACACGTACGTGTATGTGCAAGTAAAAGAGAAGAAGGCACAGAAGTGTTGAAAAAGAAGTGTCTCTGTCGCTGTGCCCTCGCGTCTAAAATTTTCGACGCTTTGAGCAATGGGTGCGCCCGGAACAAGAAAAGCCGCTGGCGACAAAAGCAAGAGACGGAAGATAAGAAAGTAATGAGCTCATTAATGAGATGTGGTCTAATTTTTTGAAAATCTCTTAATTGTGAAATTTTTGACAAAGTTTAGGTATAATAGATTACTGTAGCTAGGCCTTTTTTTAAAGTATGTTTCAGCTGAATTTTTTTATAAACAAAATCCTTTTTTTTCCGGAACGTTTTCCAAAATACATTTAACTCGCATTTTTTGCCTCCGTTTTTTAAGCTAAATCTGAAAATTTTTATGGCAATTTGAACAGGGTTGTTTTCAGTGATTTTGAATATTTTTGAAAAAAAAAACTGAATTTCTACTACTTGAATACTGATTTAAAACCATTTTAAAAACATTTATTCTACTTGAATTTATCAACAAGACTATTTTTACTACTCGGATATCAATTTCCAGCCAAAAATTACATAAACCCCAAAAAAACCCAAGAAGAAAAAAAGGCTGAGTCAAGGAACGCCGGCCTAAGTGAATCTAAGCCCAGGCTTCATGTGACATGATCGAAGACTGTGGCAAAGCATTCACTTAAACGGCATTGACTCGGTTTGTTGAAGAGGAAGGGGACAGCTTTCGGTGGGGGAGGGGAATGAATGTGAACAAAAAAGAGACATGACACATGCTCACGCTGTTTCTTTTTCGGAGCACAATGTTTCCGGAAAGAGCTCTTTTGGAGAAAAAGAGTATTTCGAGATCACAGCTTGATATACATGTTTCTTTTCAGTTCATCATGGGGATCTAGATCGGGGGATGCCCTACCTGCTCCTGTAAATCGGCAAGTTTGAGTAAATAGGAAGCCAGCTCGCGCAAGTCACTAGCTTCTAGTGATAGAAGTGATAGGGAAAGTGGACCGGGGGACGAGGAGACCGAGTCCATGGTGACAACAGGAGAATGAGAAGAAGACGGCAGCTGGAATACGTGTGTGAGTGTGTGTATGTGTGTGGAGAAGAAGCTCGAATGAGTGAATTGAGAGAGCTCTGCTCTTGGGGCGGACACACAACACGATGAGATCGAATGGGGGCGGAGTTTTGGGGTGTGGTGCTGGCAAAGCGGATGATGGAGAAAGTGGGCGGGATCTAAGGAGAGAGTGGACGAATACCTGAGGATAGAGATAGTGTAATGATGGAACTGATGAGTTGTAGACAACGAGTCGTTGGATTACTGTATTTTGGTACGGTGCGTTTGATGAATGCCTTCCAACACTGTTAGCCTTCTTTCCGCTCTTCTTTTCCGTTTATGTCACATAAAATTTATGTGTGAGAGTTTTTCAAACGATGTGATACCACAAAAGCAAGGTGGAGACAGAGAAAGAGAATGAAACGTGGCAGCGATATTACTCTGGTAGAAAAAAATCGGAGGCCCTACAACGAAAACTACAGTAACGTAAGAAAAAATTCCGTATTTATTTTCTCGTTTCTCACTGCTTTTTGTCGATTTCTCGATAGTCAAAAAAAAACTGACTGAAAGCGCACGAAAATCGAGAAAATAAAAAAAAATTCTAGTTTGCGGTAGTTGTCGTTGTGTGACCTTCCGACTTCTTGTACCAGAATAATAAAAGTGCAGATGAATCCCATATATTACCAAAAAGAGCTAAATAAGAAGATGGGGAGAACTGGCGAAGAGAAATGGACAATTTAATGAATCTTTTTATTTGGTCCAAAAAGCTACCCGCATGTTTCTGCTAACCGAGAGAGAAAGAAAGCGTCTCAATGAGATTGCACAAAAACAAATGAAACAATTCTTTTTCAAGGGGGAATACGGCCGAAATGGGTTAACCAGAAAGGAGAAAGGTGCCCCAAAAAGGAACTTAAATAGATTGGAATGGGATCAAATGGAAGGAGGAAATCTCATCGTGGTGCATGCCGCCGAAACAATTTAGGTACCTTTTCGTCAATTTTTCGGATCATTTCTTCTACAGCTGCACGACGAGCTTGATTCAGAAGTTCTATTTGATTATCCGGCAAGATCAACGGCTTTGGTTGGAAGATTTTATGGAAAGATGCACGTACAGCAGACTCGATATCATTCTTCTCTTCAGGACCACCGTCTGGTTCTTTGCTCAGAATGAGATCAGCTTCGGATTTCAGCTTCTTGGAGTCGGGAGGCTGTATAGGAATCGATTTTTGTTCAGAGAGAAGTCAGAAAATTCACAGCAAAGAAGAGCAACAAGATTGAATATGAGGAATGAAGTCCAAACGAAGGAAATGTCATTTCCGGTTAGTAATAGTCCAAATTAGTTGATTCATAGAACAGTGCGTATCAAAGATCACAGTAACCCATTTACAAAGAACAATAAGAAATTCGAGCAACGTTTTCAATCATCCAGATCTCAACCATTTTACGAAGAAGAACACCATGCCACGTCATCTCTGAAAACTGCAAAAATCCACTCACCTCTCCTCCATCGTCCATATCCAAATCAACATGTTCCAATTGTTCCAATAATTGAACATCTTCTTCATTCAGATCTGCACCGCCCGTCTCTTTGATATGTTCCAGTCTTTCTCTCATTGCTGTCAAGTTGCTCAAGTTAGCCTTCGCGTTTGCCAGAATATCATCCAACGACTTTTCAGTGACATGCTCGTCGTCAAGGTTCTCAGCATCTAGAGACGGCTCATTTTCCCCTTCTTCTTGGGATTGACGAGGAGTTTCAGGTGTCAATGTAATGCCTTCTAGAAAATTATAAATTGCGTTTCATTAGAAGGTTTCGAATGGAAATACCTCCTGTCTGTTTTGCATTGTTGATCACAGCATCCGCCTTTTCTTTTGGTTCTTCTTGTTTTTCCAACATTTTTCTAATTTGCTGAAGACGTTTTCGGCGTGCGTCCATAGAAGCGAGCTTCTCGCGGATCAGTGTATTCACTTGCTCTTTCCTGAAAAATATCACAGTCATTTGGTCAGTTGTCCATTTCATCTCTTCTTCTTTTGCTATTCAATCTCACTCAACTAAAAATAAAAGATAGAAGAAGAAGCTTCTCGGAAAGTGTGTAAAAATTTCGAAAAGTGTCAGGTGTACTACTACTCCAGTTGCCTTTGATTATCTGCAGGAGAGGAGAAGAGCACAAAAATGTAAAGTGTAAACGAGAGAGAAAGAAATAGAGTATTTGCCGGGGCGATCAATCGATCCGATGGACACGGGGGATAACAGTGTAAACCGGTCCACCGCGAGGCTCTCAGAGAGGGAGAAGCAGAGAATATCCGATGGATTTGTGAAATTTGTGAAATAATAATGGAGTTGATGGATCTTTAAAAAAACTAATTTTGTCCATTACAATGGAAGTCAAAATACCTATTTTCTCTGATAGTAGCCCGCCCAAACCGTCAAAGTTGAGCTCAATTATCTCAATTCCTGTTAAGGATAGGAGAAATTTGTCAGCTGATAAAATGTTTTTTATATCATGATGAATAATTTATCAGTTGACAACTTCGTGATATCTTTAACGGGAACGCAGATAATTGAGCTCAAAGTGGACGGCTTGGGTGGGTTTCTATTAGAGAAAATACAGTAGCTTAAAATATCTCAATACTGTTCAACTGGTTTCAAAAAACTGAAGCTGTGGAAGAAAAGCACCGGTGGCCGTGGCCGAAGGTTCTACAACAACAACTACAGTAATGTATTTAAAAACATTTTTATTTTCAGGGTTTAGCCGATTTTTTGTTATTTTTCCCTCAAAAAGTCGGGAAATTAAACATTTTGATTCAAAAGAATTGGCGGAAAACGGACAAAAAACGAGAAAATAAATCAGGAAAATGAAAATATTCTTAAGTTACGGTAGCTGTCGTTGTGGAACTTTCGGAACAAGAATAATAGTTAAAAGTACAGTATTCAACAGTAATCCATATGAAAAACTTACTTCTCCATTTCCTTCTTGATGTTCTCTCTGATCTCTTCTCTTCTTTTCTCTTTTTCCTCTTCATTCAATTCAGGTTTTGGTTGATTTTCCGTTGCACTGGAATCGGCTTCTTTCTCACCATCAACACCAAGAGTAAGACCCAGTTCAAGGCATTGCTTCTGCAATTCCTTCAGCTCTTTTTCCTGTCTTCCTGTTGTCTTTTTGAGAGCGGCCACTGAAAACTTTGTTTAGGGAATTTTCAAAATCTTTGCAAAAATTCCTACTTTTATTTATCCTTTCCATAACTTCAGCTCTGGCTCTAGCTGCCTCTTCATCTAGCTCCTTTGCTTTTTTGGCGCGAACCTCCATCATGGCACTCTTCTGAAAATTTTAACTATTAAAAAAACCCGAAAAGTTATACAAACCTTCTTCTTTGTCAATTGAAGTCGTTCCACTAATTTCTCGTTCAATTCTGATGCCGCCACTGCTTCCTCTGACACTTTTTTCAGCTCCAAAAGGGCTTCCTGTAGTTCAGCCATCACCTCACTGTTCGCTAATTCTTCTGGAGACTTCTCAGAATTATCTTCTTCGACGGCTTCTTCTTCTGCTTCTTTCTTTTCCTTCTTCTCTTTCAGTTTTTCAGCATCTTTCTTGATTTTTTCTTCAAAATCTTTGGCAATATCAAGAGTAGCTTGCTCATGAATTCCCTGGATTTTAGAAATTAGGCTTAATGGATTTTTGATAAGATTCGCTTACAACAATAGTTTTCAGAATATCCATGTACTGCGTTTCTTGTGCAGAAATAGCATCGTATGCTGCCAGCAGTTGTTTCATGTTTTCTTTCACTTCCTGAAAGATAGAAATGATAAGAATTTGATAAATCATTGATTCAAGATTCAGCTAACCTCGTTTCCTTCTGGTTTTCCGATTCCCAATTCCCGAAGCGCGCTCGCGATTTCCGATTTTTTACCACGAATGTCTTCGATGGCCTGCATAATTTTCTTTCGTCGAGTGATCTGAAAATGGAATTTTGAATTTTGATTAAAAATAAATGGGTCAGACACCTACCAAATTGTCATCCATGAGTTGCGGAAGTTCGATGGAACTCATTTTTGAATCGAAAATATAAAAATTAGAGAAAGCATTTTATAGGTAAAAGGAGAAAAAGAAAATTAGTTCGAGCAAAACTTCTAAAAATCGAAATTTAACAGTTTGTTCCTCTCTCTCGATTCGAAAAGTACACACACAATACTACCTAAACCAAACACGGCACACTTTCTCGATCAGAGACACAACGCAAACTGCAGAGATTGGAAAGACACAATTGATCGAACCGTCGGAAAACTGTACGGAATAGAAAACTGCCTATTTCTCTCTACATGCCGGTCTTCTCTCAGTACCCCCAGCGAAATTAGTCAGGCAAAAAGTTGGAGGAAAAAAGAAGGAGGAGGTGGAGGAATGATTCATGACGGAGGAAACGCCCTATTTGGGTGGTTGAAGTGAGAGAACGGTGGTGAAAAAATGGGAGTGGGTGGAGGAGTATAGTAATACTGGTATTTACTATATATTTTTGAGTTTATTAGAACAGAAAAGGAGTTGGGATGATCTGTAGATTTTGTTTGGAGTACTGTAGGAGGAGGGACTTTTAGTTGAAGGTTCTGGAATGAGTTGAAGATTCAGGAATATTCTTCCAATTTTTCGGATTTTTGAAAAAATTGTTTATTTCCAAAAATTTTAAAATTTTGATTCTCAGAAAGTTCTAACTTCTCAACTTTCGAATCTCAAATGTTTTGATTTCCAGAACATTGAAATTCCGAGTTTCTGAATTTTCCAATTTTCGGTTCAAAGGAATTCACAGAAATTCGAATTTTCGATTTCCAGAAGTTTAAAAATCGTAAATTTTATAATTTGAAATTTTGAAAATTCAAATTTTTGCTTTTCAGAAATTCCAAATTTCTGAAATGTTGAACTATTGATCTCCAGCAATTTTGAATTCCATTTTATCGTTTCGAGAAATTTGGAATTTTTGAGCTTTGAATTCCGGATTTTTTGAATTTCTGAATTTTCAAATTTTAGATTTCCAGAAGTTTCAAAATCTGAATTTTTGACTTGGGGAAGTCTAATATTTTTTATTTTCGGATTTATGAGTTTCTGAAATTTCAAAATTTTGATTTTCAGGAAATTTCGAATTTTTGATTTCCGCAAATTTTGATTTTCAGAAATTTCGAATTCCTAATTTTTGATTTTTGAATTCTAAACGTTTAATTTCCAGACATTTCTGAATTCCTAAAATTTGGTTTCCAGAAGTTTCGAACTTCTGGATTTTTGAATTCAGGTGGGGTTTAGATGAAAATACTTTAATTCTTAGATTTTGGAAATTAAGAAAAAAACATTGTGCTGAGAAACTAAAAAATGATAAAAATTGAGTGAATGAGGAATTCGACAACATTATTTAAAAGAAAATACCACTACCAATAATAATAATTCCTATTGCTAAAACAAGTACACCTGGAGTAGGTTGAAAGAAAGAAGAGCAATGAGAAACCGACTATATTAACTTCCTGCTGTTTACCTTCCTCCTTCCTTCTGATAACATTCTCTTCTTCTTCTTCCAGTTGTACATTTTAACAGCCAGGTACCGAAGATAGTGCGTGGGAAGAGTGGAAACCTGGAATCTATTTGCTTGCGGGCTTATCGAAAAACTATGGAAAATTTAGTGGGTCGAAAGAAAACATGATCAGACCGGAAGACAAAATACGGTTCTTTTGAGAAAAAGTTGTATTTTCTCGAGAAGAAAAATTCAGGTATAATCACTTGAGTACAGACAGATTCAGACCAGGAAAAACAATAACATCGCCGTAAAAATTTTAAAAACAGTGTATTACTTATAATCTAAACAAACAGAAAATTAAAACAAGAAAACGATTGATGGAATGGTTCAAAAGATTGAATGTGATATTTCATTAAACCCATTTAAAGAAATTGCATTTATCTGACGAGGTGTACGGTAGAGAGCATGTGTAAAACTTCTTTCCCTTATTCGGTCCTTCTTTTTGAACGACTTTAACAACGGCCTTCATTGGCTCTGGACAGGTACACATCACTTCTTCCTCTTCATTTTCCAACCCATTTGGCCCATCTGCTTGAGCAGGAGCACTTTTTCTCGGAGCACGAGGTTTTCGAGGTTTTGGATTCGTAAGACTGCCCAATACTTCGCTGAGAGTGACAATCTAGAAACCAACTTTTTATAAAAAACGAAGCAGTTCACTAAATACCGTATCATTATCTTCTCCCGCGTCGTCGTTCTTTGCTGGGCTTTTTGATTTTTTAGATTGTCTTCCACGTGGTTTTGGTGGTGGTTTCGGTGGTCCTGATCCTCTCGAACCTCCCCCACCACCACCACCTCCAGGGCCTCTTGGTGGTCCACCTCCTCCGCCTCCGCCACCTCCAGCTTGTTGGTTTTTGTTCAAATACCGTTGCAAACTTTGGGATAAAACTTCGATATTTCTCTCAGACTCCACAAAAATCGATTTATATTTTCCAATCTGTTCATCGAGAACCTCCTGTTTCTGTCTTCTGCCATCACAAATATCCTTTAGACCCATTTCTAAATTCGCTCTTAGATCTGGTTTGCTCATTGCAAATCCCATATCATCGTATCCATCGACTAGAGCAAGTCCTAGGAACGATGGAATGAGTTTTCCATCTGGTTTCACACCGATGTATTCTCGAGTTTTGATTTTCTCAATGTGTTCAGCGTGTGTTGCATCTGTACCGATACCGAACTTATCCATGAGAGCAATCAGATCAGCTTCAGTAAGCAAATCCGGAGGTTGAGTTTTTCCATCACCAATTTTCAATTTGTAGTCGCTGAACCTTTCTCCTTGATTGTATGTTGGCAGCAAACGGTTTCCCCATTTTTCATATACATAAACTTTCAAATATCCCATATCCCTGATTCGAAGACCTGACGAATGGAACTTCTCCGATCCAACCCTCAGGTTTACCATTGTTTCTTCGCCTTGTGCATCTTGGGAAACACAAGCGAGAAAATGACGGACGACTAGTTCATAGACCTTCCAGTCGTCTCCATGAAGAGTGTTTCTGAAAAAATTTATTGAAATGCCGAAAATTCTGAGTTTCTTCCAAAATTTCGGAATTTTTAAATCATATCTTAAAGTAGAAATTCAATTTTCCTATCACAAAAGCTCCAAAAACTGGTGAAAATTTGACAAAATGATTTCAACGCAAGAAAGTAATTTCGGTCGAGACCAACAAGAAAACTTTATGCGTGCGCCTTTGAAATACCGTATTCCCAAAAACCTTTCGAAGTTTCCGGAATTCCTAACGAAAAAACCTTACTTGTCTGCGAAAGTGAGTGGATGAATCGGTGGATGGGCTTCGTCACTTTTGTGTCCATTTCTAGGAGTTACGCCTTTTTGGAGGACCTGAAACCAAAAATCAATAGAAAACCACCAATTTCCATTCATACTTCTGTTGCAAAATCACCCCAAGTAGTTGATTGAACTTGTTGTTCAACTAACGGAGTCAAATTCAATCCAGGCGGGAATTTGTTTGTCTCCGTTCTCGGATAAGAAATGAATCCTTTACTGTACAACTTCTCAGCCACTTGCATCGTTTGCTTGGCTGACATTCTCAGTTTTGAAATTCCCAACTTTTCCAACTCTACAGTATCCAATGCTTGAGGTCTCCATTTGCTTTTCGGCTTCTTTGTCACTTTCTCCACGTGTGCTTCTTTTGCTTCTTTGCATTCATCATGAAGAATATCAACCACGTCCCGATCAAAAAGTCGGTTACGATCCCACAGAAATTCCACTTTATGTCCTTCTCGTGTATGCTCCACAGCCAACTTCCAAAATGGTTCGGAGATGAAATTCTCGATCAGTTTATAACGATCCGTCACAAATCCAAGTGTTGGGAATTGACAAGATCCGTAGCTGATCACTTTTGAGCTATCTTAAAATAGAACATGTGAACCTCAAAAACTGAGAAACTTTGATATTATTTACCACTTTGTCCCAACAGACTACTGAAACGATTTCTTAAATGAAGTGTTTGTAACCGTGTGAAAGCTGAGCCGATTCTCAAATCCAGTTCGCTTCGACAATCTACAGCAGCCACAATTTTTTCATCCAGTCGAATCAGATTCCGAGCAGCTCGCGTGATTGCGGCTTTTGTAATTTCAGAGAATCTGAATTCAAGTTTTTTTCTGAGCCCAGTGTTTTTGCTCACCTTGCTCTATAAATGTCTATTCGTCGATTACTTTCTCTGCAAACTTTGACGATTTCCGCTCCAATCGCTTCTCCTTCCCTATCACAATCAGTCCACACTACAAGTACATCGTGTCGTTGTGCTTCCTCTCTGAAATGAAATACGGATTTCCATTTTATGCTTTCATTCAGGAATGTCCGGAATGGCCTTTTCGAAATTTCGGAATATTCCGGTTTTGAAAGTTCCGGCATTAAACAAATTTTTAGGTAGAAACCCATTTTCCCATTGCAAAAACGCTAATGGGGTTATTCAGTGAGTCGGCAAAAAAGGAAAAAAAAACTCATTCCCAAATTTCCATTTTATCGTTTCGAGAAATTTGGAGTTTTTGAGCTTTGAATTCCGGATTTTTTTAAATTCTGAATTTTCAAATTTTTGATTTCCAGAAGTTTCAAAATCTGAATTTTTGACTTGAGGAAGTCTAATATTTTTTATTTTCGGATTTATGAATTTCTGTAATTTCAAAATTTTGATTTTCAGGAAATTTCGAATTTTTGATTTCCACAAATTTTGATTTTTAGAAATTTCGAATTTTTGATTTTGATTTTCCTAATTTTTGATTTTTTTATTCTAAACTTTTAATTTCCAGACATTTCTGAATTCCAAAAATTTTGATTTCCAGAATTTTCGAATTTCTGGATAATTGAATTTAGTGTTTAGATGAAAATACTTGAATTCTTAGATTTTGGAAATTAATGGGGTTATTCAGGGAGTCGGCAAAAAAGGAAAAAAAACTCCGCGAAAACTCGGAGAGTGTTCCAATCTGGCTGAAACTTTGGGGAAAACTGGAGAAAACTATAGGAAACATTTTGTCAAAGTTTGGGGTCAAAATATCGACTTTGAAAATTTGGTTGGAATTCCATTTTTCCCCAAAGTTTCAGCCAGATTGGAACACTCTCCGAGTTTTCGCGGAGTTTTTTTCCTTTTTTGCCGACTCCNTGAATAACCCCATTTTTTGGTGAAACATTGACAAGCGAAAGAGAGAAACGTTAGAAAAGTAATTCCGCTCGAGACCCACAAGAAAACTATTTGAGCGTGCTTTTGAAATACTGTAGTCCAGAAAGTTCTAATTTTGAAAAAAATTAACCGGAAATATTCCGAAAATGGTCGGAATTTTCAGAGTTTTCAAAATTCCAAATTTTGAGTTCCGTTCCGAACATCCCCAATTTCATTACTACCTCAATGTTTTCTCAATCAATTTCATATCCGGTGTAACTACATGTCGAACGGGAGCTTCAAAAAGTTCGACCATTGAAGTCGTCTGCCAGTTTGACATATTCTCATGGAACTGCCAATTCATCAAATGTCCAGAGACGCTAGTTACTGAAATGGCTGCTCTCTGAAAAAGACGTTGAAAAAATGGAATCAAAACTGTATTAACCTGTCCGAAAAGTTCGCTATTGAGTGTATAAATCTTGTTGAACTTGCTTTTTCCTTCTTTTCGATTCGATGTTCCATTCGAGAGAATCGCCGCAACTCCTTTCGCCACATCATTCTTTTCAGCCACAAAAAGTGCTCTTTTCATATTTACTGAGAAATTAGATTCATTTTTAATGATACTATTCTGTGAGAGAACAGATAAAACGGTGTTAGTGAAACCTGAAAGCGATAACCATCGTAGATGAGTGATCAAATATGATTTATTCACACGATAGCGGTAAATAGGATGAAAAGGCACTGGAATTTAGGACCCGATAGAAAATGAATGACTCAAAATTATTACAAAACACAGAAGATTATAAAATGACAAGAGAACATTTGCATATGTTGAACCCGATAAAAACATTAACTAGAAAACACATTTTTTCTACTATTCATAAATGGTGCCGTCGTCATCATCTTCTTCAATTAAATCGTCACATATATTTCGTCTAGAAAGAGAATCGGTCTCTGGGTTTTCAGCGAGATAAGAGTGATCCTCTCTGTCGATTCTGACGTTTCGTTGGTTTGCTATGGATGCTGATAACGAGTCTTTCTCGGCATCGTACTTCATCCTAGAAGGCATAGTTTCTATGTTTCCTTCTGGGTGATATCGTGGAGTTGTTCTGGGAGGGATAATGAATATGAGGAAACTCTAATAGGAAGAAATAATAATGAAGCACTAACCGAGATTTCCGCATTATTGGTCCTTTTATCACTGCATTCCGAATATGATGATTTACAATATGCCGGTCTAAATTTCGTTTTGTGATTGTCCGATAATCACAGTTTGGACAAGGATAAGGCTTTTCTCCAGTATGCGCTCGTTTATGTACTTTCAGTGATGATGTTGTTCGAAACCTTTTTCCGCAATAATCACATCCATATGGTTGTTCGCCTGTATGAATTCGAAAGTGAGCAGCAAAATTGTGACGGTATAGTACGAGTCCACAAGTGGGGCATTCCATTTTAGGTTTTGTTCCATCGTCTGGATTCGAAAAAGCTCCTATTACTTTTCCAGATGGGATGTATGGGATTGGAGCTGATTCATCTTCGAAGTCTGATTCGGCTTCAACTTCGTTATCATTGTTATCAGCATCCTCCTCATCAATTTGATTTTTTTCAACAGTCGGACCAACTTGTGAAACTAAGACAGGAGGTTCGCAATCTTCATCGTCGGATTGATATGCGATTTCCGTTTGCGGTTCAACAGAAACAATTACTTTTGACCCTCGAGGTCCCGCTATAACTTCATCAGCATTTCGTTGAGGTTGGGCATGATTTGAAGGCGTTGAGATCGTTGGTTTTATTAAAGTGGGATTTTTTAAAGGCGTCGTTGTTTCGAATTTTACAGAGTTGATAGACTTTTGAATTTTTTTGGGTTCTAGCTGAAATAAGTTGGACTATGTAATTTATAAAATTGTATTTTAAAAATTTTCCCTACCGGATGTGGTTCAGACGTTGATGCTTGTGCATCCCAGTCTTCTTCGTTGTCGTCAACGTCTTCTTCGACAACACGAGAACTGCTCAACGCCACTTCTCGCTCGAACGCTTCGAAAAGACAATCCTCAGTATGCCAATAGTATTCTCTCTTATTACGAAAATATTTCTTGCATTCGTTACACAAAAAATGACGAGTCACCGAAGTCCAGCTTCGTTCTTCATCTGTTTTCGAACGCCGCATATATTTATATCTGAAAATCTGATAAACTCGTTTAAAATTTCAATATGATATCCAGATAAGAAAAAGGATTGTAAAAGACCAGCGAATAAATGAATTATTTGGAAAAATTGTCTTTTTTCAAATTGATCCATAAGATAAGAATCTGAATAAATAGCGAAAATAAAACAAAATAAAGAAAAAGGGGAGGAAAATCAATAGAGTGAATAGATGCAAGGGGAAGGGGGTAGGCGAGGGTTAGGCCAGTGAGAGTGAGAGTAGTATAATAACAGAAAAACGAACGCCTAGCTTTGTTATTATAAATCAGACCAATTAATTGGGTTTCTTCCTGAATTCTCCAGCTCCGTGTTGCATTTCGAAAAGCATTTGCAGCCCCACCAAAAACGAGCACTGAGTGGTGACGGATGAGCTGTCTGGAAAAAAACACTTCATAAGTAACATACGAGAAGAATATGTTTACCTTGATAACTACATGCTTCTTAGTGTCAATCAGCTCCTCCTTTTTGTGTGCAAATCCTCCCCACAACAAAAACACAATTGGTTTCTCTGATTTCTTCGATATCATCCGGATGACGGTATCAGTGAAAGTCTGCCATCCAATTTTCGCATGTGAATTCGCTTCATGGGCACGAACCGTAAGTGTTGCATTGAGCATAAAAACGCCTTGCCGAGTCCAACCAAGCAAGTTTCCATGATCAGGCCTCTTGAATCCGTCGATGTCCGACTCGAGCTCTTTGAAAATATTCTTCAAAGATGGTGGAGGTTTCACACCTTTCTGTACACTAAAAGAAAGACCGTGTGCTTGATTATCGTCGTGGTATGGGTCTTGTCCAATGACAACGACACTGATTTCCTCGAATGGCAAAACATTGAATGTTGTGAAGATCTGGGATTGAGGTGGAAACACTTGCTTTCCCTTTTTCACTTCTTCGTTCAAGAACTTTTCGATTTTGGAGATATATCCTTTTTTGAACTCTTCCTCCAGAAGCTGTGACCACGACTCACTTTGGAGCAATTCTTTCAGATTAATTTCTGTTTTGATGGTTGTTCCCAATGGCCTGTCTTTTGTTTCCGATTCATCTACTTTCATCTTTTTTACCAGTTGGTTTTCCTTGACGTCATCTGATGTTTTTTCTGTGGAGACTTCAGCACAGCTTACTGATTTTCTGCAATGTTCGTTTCTAACTCGAGTTTTCAGCACTTTGCATTTACCGTTTTGCTGCAGCTGCTGCTTTCATGAACATATCCGGAATTTTTACGGTTTTTGACATTCTGTAACAAAAAAATTTAGTGAGAAACATATTTATTATGAGAAAACCAATGATGTTCAATAAGATGTTCACATAGAAATACGGAAAGAGAAGTAGAGAGAGTGAGGGAAAATAAACACGATAGCGGATTGAAAAGTGGAGATGATGAAAATTATAAATGTTTTAAATAATCTGTGAATGTTGGAAAGTTCCCGGAAAATGAATCAGGTCCGGCACCGAAATCGGGATCTACGAGAGCTGCCGCATGAGAAATGCAATCGAAATCTGGAATTTTTACGACAGGATTACGGTTAGCAAATTTGTACATTCTTGCACAACGGTGTTTGCGTCTGATGCATCGAATTTGGATGCTGTGCAGTTTTTTTCTAATTTTTGGTTTTTTTAAGGTTTTAACAAAAACAGGTTTTTTCAAAACATTTTTCTGCTTTCCTAATTATTTTTTTACACGTACTGCTATATAATAATAATGCTGAGCCTCTTTATTTTTTCAGATACAAGTCACCAACGACATGCCGCCCAAATTGAAAAAAATGGTGAGTATGTTTTTAGAATAAAATATAATATAGTTTCTGAACTTGATTGTTGTATGTGAAAGGCAGTTTAAAATATGCGAGGAAAGAGGTTTAAACGCGCTTCTTTCCCGCCTAAATTTCGCGTGTAGTACATCGGCCATTAACATCGGCCATTCGCTTTAGGTCGCTACCAAAAAAGATTTTTCACACTGTGCTCGTATTTTGTTTGCAAACTATTTCATAAAACTCTTACTGTCTATTGTTCCTAGTTGATTTGATGTGCTCGGTTGCTGTGGGGATTGACTGTAGTAGTTTTGATCCCAATTGTGTGGGTACTGTTGAATCGTAGAAGTGCTCATCCCGTTCGCAGGTTGATTATATTGGTATCTCTGCCATTCTGGGTAATGCGGAATAGTTGATGACGGTAAAGGCTGGCTCATTGGTGCTGGAAGTTCCGTATCTAGCGGGACTGTTCCAGCGTTGTAAGACTGCGGCAAAGATGGTACATTTCGTTTCATAGTTGTTTCTCCATTTCCAACTGTTTCTTTCTTGCTCTTCCTCTTCCGATCCCTTCTCTTATTCGGAGTTGGTTTCACTTGAGGCGTCGCATTCTTGTACAACTCCGAATTCAAGGCGACTGGGGGTTCAGAACTTTCGGCTTTTCCGTCCTGGTGACTTCCCGTCGAGGTGTCAGGAGGTGAAACTGAATAATATACTTTAAACAAGACAAAACATTTCCATTATTTACCTTCTGATGAATTTTCCGTAGTTGGAACTACCGGTGCAGAGATGCTCTCAGGCTCTTGGGGTAGGGGGGTAGGTGTGGACTCAGAAACTTTCTTTACATTTCGTTTCCGGCTGTGATCTCTATTACTATAATCCCTTATGTTGCTTTTTATTTCGAATTGAATAGGCGCTTTGCGAGCCCTCTGGGGACGTCTACTACTGAAGGTAGCTTCATTTCTATCTTCCATCAATTTCGATTCATCATTAGACGATTCTTCGGCTCTTCTCTTGAACGTACGGCGTTCACTATTGTCACATACTGCACTGGAAGAACTAGAAGGTAAATTCGATTCGACTGCTGGATCCTGCGATTTTAGCATTTGCTGCTCACTACATTTCTTGTTCAATTCATTGATGGCACTCGTAATTTGCTCAGTGACCGTTGAATCGGTTCTTGGTTGTTGTATTTCTTCGAGAATCTGATCCTGTTTTGGCTGGTCAATCATTCCAGTCGAAGTCGTGGGATCCACCTCCAAACATGGTTCCTTCTGAATTTCTTTGGCAACAGCTCCACTTATTCCATTATTCAACTCATCGCGTTTAGAGAATTCGTTGTCTTCTTGTGGAGTAATATCTGTAAACGGAACTGTTTTCAAATCCAAAAACTACTCTGATTTTACGAACCTTTTTGCAAAGATTGTTGGTGTGAGTCTAGTTTCGATGGGTCAGCGACGGATTCCAGTGCTGATTTTTTTGACTTTACATCAATAATCTTCGTTAGATCCATCTCAATTCGATCGTTAAATTGTGTGAATTCTATAAAAATCTACCGAGTTATTGATTTTAACTAAAACTCACCGTCGAGAAAGCTTAATTTCGAAGTCACCATATCTTGCTGCTTGTCCAAGTATGTTCCTCGGTCGATTTCAGTAGACTCCGAAGCAGAAGATGATGGAACCACTTCATCTTCATCCTCAAGGTTTAGAATGGTTGGTACCATTTCCTCATTACGTTGCGTCATGAAATTCTGTCCTGGATGCTTGTTTGATTGAAGAACTACAGTGTTAGCCGTTTTCAAATGTTCTCTGCAGTTTTTCAGTTTCTTCTCTGCATTCATTTCAGTTTGGATGCTATCGTTGAAGTCGGTGAGGAAGTTCAAGATTCTCCCATTTCTCTCGTCCATAGTCTCACTGCAGTCCAGAGTTCTTTTCATGATTTCAATAGAATCGTGAAAAATATCATAGACGTTTCGGAAATCAGAGTTGATAGCTTTTGTGATGATAGGGAGCCAAGGTTTTTCCGGATAATATTTTTCTGCCAGAAATAAATTTTGGGTTGCTCTGTAAAACGATATACCGAATTTCCTCTAATAGACGCCCACGCAAACTGTCTACTTTGAGCTCAATTATATCGATTTCTGTGAAAGATATCCAAATAATGTCCACTAATAATTTTGTTATCAGATATTAGAATTCTGATATCTCTCACAGGAAACGACATGATAATTGAGCTCGAATTCGGCTCAAAGACTCACCCGTTCGTAGGCTCAGAATGACGATGCCGCGAATGTTTTGGATGTTCGTCCATTGCTGAAAAAAGATGTTCAAATCTACTTTATATAAAATAACTGGGGAACATGCTCGAAAAGTTAAATTTGAATCGATAGAGAGAGAGAGAGAGACTTTCTCAGTTCCCACGGGTAACTATGGAGTACGGTGGTTTCCATGTTTACTCTTATTTTTCTATTGATTCTCAACATGATCATACGAAGTCGTATATGACCAGAAAGTATGAACAACTATCATAAAATAAATGAGAAACGAAAAAAAAAAGAAGAAGGCTGTATTTTTGTAGATGAAGGAGGAGTGGCAGTCTGCTATAAGTAGCGACCACAGCAAAAGGGGCGCAGCCTATTTTTTTTTCTCCGCGTGGGGTTTTGGATTTTTGATTGGTTGTAACTATGGCTAGAAAAGGAGGATCGATATGAAAATTTGACTCCTTATGTAATCGACTACGTAGAATTCAAATATGTAAATGTTTTTACTGAAATTCTTACACGAAAGAAGGAAAGAGCAATAAACAAAAGTGGGCGGCAGAAAAACGCACAGTAAAAGAGATGGGTGGCTGAAACGCTCAAAATTTTTGTTGTTTCCAGTAACTTAAGACATTTGCTAAAAGGAAATCATAATGAAAATCTCAGAAAAGTTAGCCGAAAATAGTACATTTCAGCCAAACTGGCTGTAAATATTGTGAAAAACTTTAGTGACAACCTATAGAAATCATGTTTTTTATAGATAATACTACTCTCGAACATCACACAAATAAATTTTGAACATAATTGGATTATCAGAAAATACTTCATGTTCCGTCACAAAATGACATACTCAATAAAATATTCGTTTTTCACAATTATATCACGAATGGAAGCTAAAACGCTCGATTTCTTTACATATTCGGATTCTACGGAAAATTTCACATAAAATGATGTTTCTGAGATATTACAAAAAGTTGGCCGAAAAAAATGCGAAGCACATTTGTATCGAAATCACCAGAAAATTCATAGAAAAATAATTTTTTCAAAGAGCGCGCGTGTGGCGGTGTTATAATTAAACAATGCGCCCACTCTCGGTGTGCTCGTTTGGTGTACTGGTTAAGCTAGCGGTGTTCTAAGCAAAGACATGCGGGTTCGATTTCGCTTTTGGACAATTTTTTTGAACGTTTTTTTTTCACATTAAAAAAATTTTCTCCTTGACATCGGTACTTGAACGATGCATTGATGAGTATTTCTTCTTTAGAATTTCATTCTTCAGCCTTTTTTCTCAGTAATTTCGCATTTTTTCTATTTTTTTCCGATTTTGAACTAATTTCTGGTGAAAATTTGTAAAATTAGGTTTGTTATCACACTAAGCATAATCGAAACACCATTTTTCACACTTTCCGATACGATTTTCTCCGTTTCCAGCCGTCCGAAACCGAAATTTCGGCAGAAAACTGCTCGAGTAAACGATAGGCTTTTTCCGCGCCGCAGCCTTGCGTCGGCGACGCCCCGCCCACTCGCGGAGAAAATGGACGAAAATGAAAAGCACAAACTGGGATGTAACTCGGGAATGAGCGAATATTTTTGAACGAAATTTTGAAAATATGCTAATTAGGAAGAGGAGACCATTTTAAAATACAAAGATTTCAAGAAAGAACTGAAAAAAATGTTGTGGTCCCTAGCTATAAGTTCAAAAAGAAAAGTGTAGATGAAGAGCAGAGACGCAGAGAAACAATTCTAGAAAAGAAGCCATGGTTGCAAGAGGCAGAGAGACGAAGAATGTGAACGGAAAAAACTTTCGGCATCGTTTCAGAATGTAGCTATGCGAAAGGAAATGAACAGTTCGTATTTCCACTTTCTCATGGAACTCTTTGAAAAATTCGAAGTTTTGATGTGTTCTTTTTCCATTTTTCCAAATTTTTTAGCATAGATGAAAATCATACTTGCGGACGGGCCCAAAGCGGGCCGTGGCGGGCCCTGTCATACTTTCTTTTAGGATTGATATTTTTTGACCAACTAAATTAAATATGGTAGAACTCGAGCACTACAAAATGATAGTATTTGAGACACTGTATCATATTTGTGAACAAAGTTACAAGCCAAAAAGCTGCAAATGCGGGCCGGGCCGGTTTTTTCGGCCCGTTTGGTCTGTGACTTTGTTTACAAAAATGATACAGTGTCCCAAATAGTATCATTTTGTAGAGCTCGTCGAGTTCTGTCATATCTAATTTAGTTAGTCAAAAAATATTAATCCCAAAAGAAACTAAGACAGGGCCCGCCACGGCCCGCTTTGGGTTCGTCTATGATGAAAATGCTTCAAAATTCAATAATATGTCTAGATGATGCAGTTCTTGACTGATGTTTGAAATTTCGACGACATATCTACGGACCCAGTGATTGGTTCCCAATCCACAAGTACTTGAATAAAAGCTACAGTATACTATCGGGATTGCCCATATACTAGTCGAATCAATATCAAGAGGCTTTTTTCTGAGTAGCTGTAGCAGATGACAAATACTCATAGAACGCGCATAAAGAATTCCTTCTAGTCAGCAACGTTCGCGTTAGTGCACGTGTTGTGGCTGGACAAAAAAGGACGAATGCGATAGCGACAAGGGGAGCAATGGCACCCTCGCTCCGTTTCTCCGTCTGGCGTCTCTTCGTCTAGGCACCCTTTTGCATGTGGTCATTTTTCCCACGAATTGTTAGGCCAATATTTAAAAATGTGGTCTGATAGAGAAAAGATAATGGGCCTTGTTTTGTTCTTGAGATTTATTGATTCTGATTTTTTTAAAAATACTCATTTATTCCTTAGTTTCAGAAAAGCATGTCAGACAATAGTATAGATCCCGCGACGCTCGCAGCTGCGGCAGCCATAGTAGCAGGAGCCAGAAACCCAGGATCAGCAGAAGCATCGCGGAATCCATCGCCACCAGTCCCTGGCGTACCTGCACCAGTACCCGTTCCATTAGTAACTGTATCGTCCACAACTTCAACTCCTCTTTTGGAACAGGCCAAAAATGCTCTTGCCCAGGTATAACAAATCCCCTAAAACAAAAAAAATTCGGAATTTTAGTTGGTCAAAACATCCAAAATGAACCGAAGCCGTGGATCAGCACTGGCAGAGAAACCGGAAGTTCAACTGATGCTTGACAAAGATCTTTTCTTGATTCAATCTGATCGACGGACTAAAATGAACCCCTTGCAACAAATGCAACTTTTAAGAGTCTTATCACAGTTTTTCTTGGTGAGTCCTGAATCGATCAGTGGTAATTGGATCATTGTTAAAATTTTTATAGGAACGAGTTGACGATGGACACCGATACGCATACTTTGAGGCAATTTTCTTAGGAAGAGTTGATGATCCGGTTCTTCACGAATACCGTCTTTCGGTGATGTACCAACTGGTTTCGTTCTCTGTTCAGTATCCAGTTTTGCAAATTTTGAACCATGTGATGGGATGGATCAGCAAATTGAACAATGAAACTCAAGAAAGAATGTATTGCGATCGGTTAATCGACATGATGGTTGAGCATTTTGTGCGGACTTCGAACATCGAAAACCGAATGGTGAATATTTTTGTTTATTTCGGTTAAAAAAATTATATTTTTAGCATGATTATCTTCTCCCTCTTGAAACCAGCTGCAGTGAGTTCTGTGCACTCTTCATCGCTCGAGCTCCTCTTCATGGACCATTGTCCCCTGCAATGGTTGAAGTGATTGTTCAGTATTGTGCTACAAATATGCAATTCATTCTTCGACATCTCCGAGACACTCCTTGGCAAGGAAATGACTTTGCAGAAAAAGTTATTCCAAGGTTGGTCGAGCAGATGCTGGTCGACGAAACAGATGACTCCGACAGTCTTGGATCATGTATATGCTACTTCCTGTTCCGATGGCATATTGATGTGCTCGCAAATGCAGACAGAAAGGGGCCGACCAAGCGAATAGAAGTCTTAGGTATTCAGTTTTGTTATCGAGGTAATTTAATAATTTTTCAAATTTCAGATCTACTTCTCTCCCCCGAATATCCATGGACGAAACGAAGAGCTTGCGTTTTAACGAGTGCGATCGCAGCATCCACCAGAAGTGAAGAAGTAGTTCAAAAACAATTGAAAAAGCTGTTTGTGCCTGTAACATTCAAACCGGCTGTTGAACTTCTTTGCTCTGGAACGGTCAAGGATAATCCACAAAAAGTACTAGAAGCGCTATCAGAGATGACGTTGACTCGGGAGCTACGTGCGTTAGCTGGAGAAACGAATTGAATTTTTAACGAAGTGCTTTATTCGGGTTTCTATAATCTTTGTATATCATGCATCCTTTTTTCAAATAAACTTTCACAACATATTTAACGATTACTCTTTTTGCTATTTTCCCGGTTGAAACCTGGATTTTTACTTTTCTTGAACAGACAAAAACTCCTATGGAATAATTTCAATTTTCATCTCATCTCTTCTCCGATCTCTGTCTTTCCCATCCTCTTCTTCTGACACTATGATTTCTTTGACACCTTTTCACTCCTCTTTCGCACGCTCTTTCGCAACTCTCACCTCGATTTTTATCATTGCGACTAGAGCATGTTTACACGCCAGTCGCCCGCCCGTCACCTGTTGCAGAAATGCATCTCTTCATATTTTTAGATCAATTTTATTCTTCTTTGATATTACAAAAAAATCAGAAAAAAATCGATTTTATAGGTAGTATAGACTAAAACCACGAAAAAATATGTTGCTACGAGCAGTTGGACGACAGATGACGTCGGTTATTCGACAACAGACTGCTGTTAGAAGTATCACTATGACCAGAGTAGCTCTTGGTGGAGGAGGCCATCATCATGGTGAGTAGAAGCTAAAATAGGCAAAGAGCTAATATTCAACTTCTTTTTTCAGACCCTCAACCAGTCTATATCCCAAAACCAGGATCCCTTGACTGGACCCTTTGTGGATACTCACACGCAAAATCTGCTCATCCACATGAACCTCATAAGACAGATGTTGGATCTCTCGTCGGAGCTGTCGTTTTCATTGGTCTCACTCTCGCTGCTGTTTTTTTCAAGACTGACACCTTCAAGAAGGATGATGGGCATCACCATGGGCACAGCGCGAAACATTCGGCTCAGCAAGAAGAAGTGCATCACGAAGAGCCGGAAGAGAAACATGTTGAACCAGAAGTAGATCCCCGTAAACCAGAAGAAGTTCTTGCTGTTCGTGAAGCACCAGCCGCTGTTGAAGAGCCTGTTCCAACGACATCGAAGCAAGAGCAGGAGGAGAAGGCTGATAAAGAAGCTGCTGAGACCAAGGTAATGTTTTTGAAAGGGAAAAATCTCAATAAAGTTTTAATTGGTTTCAGAAGGCTGAATCAGAAGAGACGTCTGTTGAGCCACAGGGAACTACATCTAAACAAGAGCCAGAAGGAACTTCAGCTACTGAGGAACCAGTTCCATCGACTTCCAAGGTAAATTATCATGCTTCTCTTTCCCTCACATTATTCAATTTTTCTAATTCTAGACCACCGTAGAGCCAACACCTTCAGAACCGAAACAAGAGGTACAGTAATCACAGTGTTCTCCCGCATCCGCTCGTCATCCAGTTAGACTATGCAACTATCATTTTTAGTTTTCTTTCATTTTCCCTCCCCGCACACAAGTTTTGAAACGTTTATCGGTTTTGTTCTCTCGGTTTTTCTGCTCAACGAAAAGTTTATTTTTGCGTGTGCCTTTGACTGCAGTTCTGAAAACTTTTCAGACTGTTGAATACACCAATTTTTCCCGATAATAAAGAAGATTTTGACAATTGAACATTCTCTCTAATAAATTTGACGCTGAGATTCTTCCAGAATTCATCATTACACTGTGAATACGTCATCATCGGATCTGGAACTGCTGCTTATTATGCATCGTTGGCAATTAGAGCGAAACAAGCCGAAGCTAAAGTTCTTATGGTTTGTTTGAATAAAATAGCAAACTAGGAAAATATCTGAAATGTTAGATTGGAGAAGAATCAGAACTACCGTATAATCGTCCTCCTCTTTCAAAAGAGCTCTGGTGGTATGGTGACGAAACTGCTGCCTCAAAACTGGACTACACTTCACTTTCTGGAAAGAAACGAGACATTTTCTACGAAGTTGAAGGATTTTTCGTGTCTCCTGAAGATATTCGAAAAGCACCACATGGAGGTGTATCACTAATTCGTGGAAAGAAGGCCATCAAAATTTGTGTGGATGATAAGAAAGTGATTTTGGAAGATGGAACAACAATTGGATATGATAAGGTGTTGATTGCAACTGGAGTTCGGCCAAAGAAGGAGAAAGTGTTTGATGAAGCAAGTGAAGAAGCAAAAGAGAAAATTACTTATTTCCATTATGTAAGTATAGAAAATCTTTTTTTTTCTATTCTGCTTGTTTCAGCCAAAAGATTTCAAACGTGTCGAGCGAGGACTAGCTGACAAATCCATCCAAAAATTGGCTATCGTTGGAAACGGACTTCTTGCTTCTGAATTAGCCTATTCTATCAAAAGAAAATATGGAGAAAACGTCGAGGTTCATCAAGTGTATGAGCAAAAGTACCCAGCCGAGGACATTCTCCCAACTCATCTCGCTCAGAAATCTTTCGAAGCCATCAAGAATAGTGGAGTTAACGTTCGTGCAGAGCAGAAAATCGAAGGAGTTAGAAAATGTTGCAAGAACGTAGTTCTGAAGTTGTCAGATGGAACTGAACTTCGATCCGATATGGTTATTGTTGCAACTGGAGAAGAGCCAAACTCTGAGATTATCGAGGCATCTGGATTGAAAACTAGCGAGAAGGAGGGCGGAGTTCTTGCTGATAAATATTTCAAAGTTGCTGAAAATGTGTGGGCAGCCGGAGCAATTGCCACTTTTAATGATAACATTCTTGGATCCAGAAGAATTAGTTCGTGGGAGAATGCACAAGTTAGTGGACGGTTGGCTGGAGAAAATATGGCGACAGCTGGAAAGACAGAGAAGGCGTTCTGGTATCAACCATCATTCTTCACAAAATTCGCTCCACATCTTCATATCAACGCAGTTGGACAGTGTGATTCCACTCTAGAAACAGTCACTGTCTACGCTGAACCAGATGGCGAGAATCCTCTGGAAAAAGCTGTTGTCTTCTATAAATCGAAGGAAAATGGAAACGTTGGTTCTTCCTTTTCTCTGGATTCCCACTACTCAAAACATTCTTTTCAGGTTGTTGGTGTGCTTCTTGTTAACGTTTTCGGTCCGTCTCTTGACGTGGCTCGTCGTATAATTGATGATCAAAAGAAAGTAGAAGAATTCAAGGAGATTGCCAAACTCTTCCCACTTTATGAGCCACCGAAAGTCGAAGAGGAAACGAAGGAAAAGAGTCCATGACTTAATTAGATATCATTTTTAGTGTTCTCATTGTTTTTTTTGTTCGTGTTTTTTCTTGTTTTCTTGTGTTGTTTTGTCTAACATATAATATGAAGCCTGAGTTTCCAATAAAGTAATAATTTATTTAGTTCTTATCATTTAACAGCTGTTGAATGCCTCAACGCAATTAATTCCAGGCAAGTCATGCTATCCTCAACCGACGAATGACCCGTTTTCTGGGTTTGGATCTCTTTCTGCAGATAGATCACAGCCAGATTTTGAAGTGATAGCTTCTTGAATTCCCCTCTCTGGTCCACAGACATGAATAAGACAGATGTGTCGATCACATTGTGGTGGATCAAACGGAGAGCCTTGAGATCCGATTCCAGCGAATGGCCAACTAGAAGAGTCTCCGAATTGATAAACTGGAATAATTGAAGACGGCATGCTTCGAAGGTGATTGCTTCTGATAGATCCTTCTCCGTGATTCCAGAGAATGTGGTATTTAAGCTGACGATTTCATATTGTGGAAGAACAAAAGTATCCAGAATAACTCGTCCTTTCATGTCCACAAGGCTCACTCTTGCTACTTCAAGTCCATTCATTGTATGTACTAGCTCACAGTCCAAACCGTACACCTAAAAGAATACAGATTGAAAATGCATGAGGAAATCAACTATTTACCTTCTTCGACCTGTAGTCGTTTGCATTTTTAGCTGGAGGAGTTGGCATAAAACTCCAAAGGGTATCCTCCCAAGCACTGTTGAAAACGTGATAATCTTCTACCATACAACCTCCAGAAGACGTGCTCGGATGAGCTGAGCAGCATGTCCGAACAAAGCTGCGTTTCACATGGTCGAACTTCTTTCGATGGTGATAAACACATTTTTGTGGAGCCATTGTTCCGTCTTGGTTCAAGTAAAAATCTTTAGAACAACGGGAGCATTTGCGAAGGAGATCTAAAAATATATCGATTTGTAAATTTCCACAAAAGTAAAGTTAGTACCATCAGAAGCTACGAAATCCCTCATGTTATTCTTCGTTTGTGGGATAACGGCACTATTTGGACCCAAAAATGGAAACCCATTGTATTGGAGAGCATTGGGTGTCAGTTTCAGGTACGACAGTTCACCATGCAACCTGGCTGGAGCCATTTTGTGAAGAGGTTCCGGTGTGAGGCATAGGGAAACTGAAAATCAATGTTTAAGTTAAAGAACACAAAATACCAGGAACTGAAATTCTTGTTATTTTTTTAAGACGATATCACATGGGGGTGTCTCGCTCGTGGTTCTAAGTGTAAACATCGTGTACCTGGCACATGAAACAAATCAGTGGAGAAGTGATTTTTGAAAATTAGAGTTTGTTTTTTCAGTAAAAAGAATCAGAAAGGAGAGTAAATTTTGCAGTAATCTAAAAAGGATATTCCGTAATAAAAGGATCCCTACACTGCAAATTTTGACCTAATTTATCTCGGTTACTGTAATAGACATCAAAAATTTGTCAACTGATAAAATGTTGATCATAATATCAAAAATTTTTATCAGTTGATAATTTTTTGATATCTTTCGGAACCAGGATAAATTGGCTCAAATTTCGAAATTAGAGGGTCATTCTATAATAGGTTTTACAGTAGTTTGTAAATTTGAGGTTTACCAATTTTCGTAGCAAAGAGATACCAATTAGTGAAATAAACACCTAGAAGTTATTTTTGAAATTATCAAAGCCTCATGACTATTCCAAAAACTATAAAACGGCCATCCAACGAATGACCAACAACTTTGGATACTGTAGTGTAATGTTTTGTAGATTTTGTCATTATTAAATTAGGTTCTGGTGTTCTAGCTCAGTTTTTAAATTTACAAATTTTTAGAAAAAAGGCAATATTTGAAAATTCTTAAACTACTAACCCTCTTCATCGGAACTGCTGGAACTGATGCTCGCTCCGTTTCGCTTCTTTTTCATTTGTAGAAATTCGATTCCCATTGTAGTTCGGTGTTTTACTGAAATATAGAGAAATATGAATATACACTTTTCAGGCCAAAGTCATTTTATATAAAGTGATCTAGGGCAAAAAAGAGAAAGAAATAGAAAGAAAGAAATAAAAGTCAGCAGGTCAAAATGTTCTGAAAGTACAAACCAATGTACAAGAGAGACAGGTGTACTTTGATGAAAAGGGAACGGATGGAGTGTGAAGTGAAAAATGCACTTGGGCTCTCGATTACCACATGATCTGATGTTCTGACCCTGACTATCTTCAATCCAATGGAACTATTAGAGAGCATTCGAGACGCAGAGACGCAGAAATAACAAGAGACAGCACAGAAAAAGACAAGGGAGACACCAATGGACACGGCCTGTTTTTGTGTGTGTGTGTGTGTGTGTGTGTGTTGATAAAGAAGAAAATTGGAAGGAAGGAACAGGTGAGAGAGGAGAAGAGATCGGAGAAAACAAGAGGGAAAGTTCTCGGGAGGAAAAAAGAGGCTTAGAAGACGTCGAGTTAGATTGCATCTCTCGGAGTAGCAAGAACATATAGACGACCGTTTTTTATTGTTGTTGTTGTTGGATGATCATATTTTTGATACACACAAATATAAATATTTGTTTGTGGTTTTGGGGGGAGAGGTGCTTGAATGAAATTGAACAAAACTATAGCAGTTCAAGTTTGTTGTTGGGGGTAAACACATAGCTATTATTGGGTTGGGGAACAGCGTAGGTTCACTAAATATTTTAGAAAAAAATTTTGATATGAATTTTTGTTGTTGTTGGTGGTGGGAAAGAATGACTCATTGGCTGTAATGTAACGTGGGCTTAAGAAGATTCCGAGAAGACGTCCCTCTATGAGTCAGAAGGCTGAGGAAGGGTTCAGAACAAACATATTGGTTAATATTCTTGGAAGAGAAAAGCTTGTGGGCGTGGCCAACGGTTTCCATAACAAAAACCACAGTAACCTAAAATTTTCGATCCTTTTTTCTGGATTCTCATTCTCGTGGTGGGACCCAAATTTTCGATTTTTGGAATTTTTTTCATGAATGGTTAAATAGACTAGTTGAAATAGCATAATTTTCCTCCAAATCGACGAAAATCTAAGCGATTTGTGGGGAATTTTTCTATTTCCGTGCTAAGACCCAAACTTTCGGAATTTTCAATTTTTGAAAATAGGGTCATAACTAGCTTGATTTTCTAATTAAAATAGTACAATTTTCATTAAAATCGGTCCAAAACTAATCGAGTTACTCTATTTTTAGAAACTTTTTTTTTGAAAATTTTCAAATTTTTGCTTTTCGATGATTTTTGAGTAAAAACTTCCAATACAAGTCAGAAAATTAAGACTTACTAAATCTAAAAAGTTGCCGGAAAATGGGCGAGAAGGGAAAAAACAACTAAAGTAAAAAATATTTGCTAATTACGGTAGTTCGGTCGTGGCTCCGATTTTTGCATACCAGCCTATTATTTGGAAAGGATAATAATTTGTACGAGCAAACATTAGAAAATGATGAAGTGCAAAATCTTGTCTAGGTACGAAATTTGTACTACGAGTTACCAGGGAATCAAAGGGGATCAGAATACGAATTTTGAGCACAAGAGGGCTAATGCTCATCTCCATGGAACTCCGAAAAAAACTTTTGAAAGTAGGACGACGAAAATAGAAAGGTTACAAAAAATTGAGTCTATGATCACCCACTACTTTTAAATTTTTACATGACGAATTCTGAAAAAAACTCAGTGAGGGGTCAAATTTTGGGATTACTACGAAAGTTCAAAAACGGTAGACCAAAACATTACGCAATTCGAGAGGGTGACTGCATCAGAACACGAAAGTCTTCTATTCCTTTATTTCTCTTTTTATTGGGAAAACACAGAAGAACATGACTAGATCATTCTAGAAGAAACTCATGATTTCCTCCTTGTGTGTCTTTTTCAAATAGTTTGTAGCTTTTTTCTTAGAGTAAATATACTGAAACACTGTGTTTACACTTTTGATAGTAAAGGAGAGCATCAGAAAGAAAATTTAGAGATCAACGAGTGATTTTGACGCATCACCTGTTTTGTTGTTTATTGGAAACCGAAGAGAGGAAACTGGAGAGAAAAGGTTTGCAGAAGAAAAAAAATGGAAATGATGCAAAGGACACCCGGTTGCGAAATGGATGAAAATAGGCACAGAAAACGGAACTGTGTCAATAGAAAATATCCTATAGGGTAAGAAAACTGTTTAGTGAGATGGAGATCGTAATGTTTTAAATTCACGAAAACCACCTCTTCGTCATGAAAGGCGGGGGGCAATAAGCTGTTAAGAATCAGAATAGATAAGAAACCGAAATAGGAGATGAGTAATGCGGGGTGGGGGGAACACCCTGGGAAGACAAATGACGTTGAGAAAAGGGTATAAATGAGAGAATGAATAAGGAAAACGGAGAGAGGGAGGATGAGAGAAGAGCACTGAGGATGAGAAATCAATACGACGAACCTTCCTTCTTTTGGGAAAACAAGAAGACGCAGAGACGAGAATTTTTATTGGGTTTTCTCTAATGGTCATGGGAGACGAAGAACGTTTTATGGATTATCCCCTAGAGAACAATTGGAGAGACAGGAGATAAGATAGATAGGGCAACAGTAGTACCTACCGTACCGGTCAATAAGATATACAAAAACGTCTTTTTCAGTTTATTTTCGGTCATTTTGGCCATTTTAAAGAGTCTAAAAACGGGCCAAAAAAGGGTGTCTTTGAGAAATCGAAAATAAGAAAAGGCATTTTCCAAAAATTCTGTGAATGCAAAGTTTTCAATCTAGGTCTGTTTTACAACTTCTAAAATTTTCAAAGTGATCGGAAACTTAACAGCCGAGCTCCACACCCTTGAAAATCGTCAAAATCTACTGAAAAGGCGGTTTTGTGTATCTTATTGACGGGTAGTGTAGATAGGGGGACTGTTTTATATTAGCACTTGTATTAGAACAGTACTGCTAAATGGAATATCACCTCTTCTTAATTTAGAATTGCAAATTCACTGCTCGTACTAAAATTGATTCTTACAAGTCTTGACATTTTTTGAAGATTTGACGAAATTCGGGTTGAATAAATCGAGCGTAGACGTTAATTTCGCTAAAAGGATTTTTCCAGGGACTAGAATAAAAATAGAAGGCCAGAAAGGGATGTTTTAAAAATTACCCGGAAATTTCAAACTCAACGTAGAACCAATAACTTTTCGGTACTGTGTAGCTGAAAAAACTCTAGTCTGAATATGATAGATAAGCCATAGTATGCCATACCGCCTTTTTTGAAAGTAGGACTCACTACTGTCAAAACCTGTAATAGAAGGGCCTTGTTACTTTTACCTGTGTGTCAATTTTTCTAGATTTTTGTAGAAGATATGAAAAAGTTGTCAACTGGTGAAAGAAATGTTTTGTTTGTTGATACATTTTGGATATATCTGATAGGAATTGAAATACTTGTGCTCAAAATAGACAGGGATCGGGGGAGCCCTTCTAATGCAGATTTTACGGTAACAGAGCAAAACAATCACTTGATATCTCTACAATGGAATTTCGAGCTATCACAAAGCATCAAAAATTAGAAAAAAAAACAAAGATAAGGGCTCATTAAAAATCGTATCGGAAGACAAAACAGTTATTCATGTTATCAGTAGAATTAGTTTTGATAAGGAATAAAAAAGGAGATAATAAGAAGAGTAAAAAAAGCGAACGGCTAGTAGTCGAAGGTATTGAAAGAAGACTGTCGTTGAGGCAGAAGGGATGCTCCTTCACATTGTCACAATCCAGGTCATCTGTAAAATCAATATGAAGTTAAACGGGACGAGAGCGATATTAAGAAATTGGTCTGATCAAAAGGAAACAGAAGGTAATAGAAAGCTCTGGCTCTGGCGGAAGGCTCTGTCTTTTTCTCAGAACCAAATATCGACCTAGTTTGCAAAGTAGTTTTGATCTAATTGATAGTTCACTACAAACCACATGATGTTCTCTCATTATCAATAGTCAGACGATTCTAAATGAGACTTTCGTGACTTTTTGAAAAAGAGAAACAAAATAACAATCGTTCGATATCTCCCTTATATATATATCTGATATCTCCCTTATATATAAAACGCAACTTTTGAATAGCTTGGAAAACAAGTATACATTTATGTCACCCTTTAAGAAAAATGAGGAGCGGAGCGACGAACCAGTAGATCACTAGATTAAATTGCGCCGAAGGCGCACCAGCCAGCCGTGAGAGAGAAATTCTAGAATTTTTTTGGGTTTCTAAATTATGAAAAACAAGCTAGCTGGTGCGCCTTCGGCGCTACTTGATCTGGTTTTTACTGGTTCGCTTCTCATTTTTCTTAAAAGGTCACGTAAATCTATATTTATTTGCCACGGTTTCCAAAACAGGACATCGTGACACAAGGACAGACACAGGGACAGCATCTAGAGTTTTATATATAAGGAAGATAACAAGTTTCGAAAGTGTACTGATTAGTCAGACTTTCGTCTGTTGATCCCTTTCGCCACGTAGAGGCTCAGTACATGAAAGGGAAAATGGTTTTTCACCGGGGGAAAATACAACCAAAAAGGAAAGTACCAACCAAAAACCCCATCGTCTCCGAAGAGACAGCTTGTTAATTTTCAATAGTTCTCTTTCACTGCTAAAAAGCTATACCGTCGCCATTTACTGTTTATGTTCATTTGTTTCTTTTTTCTTCGATTGAGTCTTTTGCAAAAGGGGGACGTTCAGTGAAAATGAATTCACCTAGCCATGAACCATCAAACATGGCGACCCTTAGGGCATTTCATAACTTTTTTCGCAATCGACCAATCGAAAGAAAAAAGCAAATGAAACAATAAACAGCTTAGGCAGGGAACTTCAGAACAGTGGAAAAGAGCTAGTGAAAATTATCAAACTAATTCAAAGAGGGGAATTTCGCAAAGAACTTTTTTTTTTCAATACGTGGAATTTTTTTCCACATGGACAGAAGGAGGGGGCGTGACCT